TGTCGATGCTAACTTGCAACCTCGCTTCTGGAAAACAAACCACAGGCCCAGCACACCGTGAGACCTGGCAAACTGGTACCAGCGTCGGGCTCTTTACAGCATTGCATTCAGCTGCCTTTCTCTGTCCCAGGCTTACAGCAGTGATGCAAAATATACAGGCTTAACTGGCTAAGAGAGAGTCTCATTGGACAGAAAGAAATAGGAAAGACAATAAATAAGGTGGGGAAGGAAAAGGACACATGGGGTGGGACTGGAGACACGGTTTCACATCCCAGGTGGTGTTCACAGGGCCGGCTCCAGGGTTTTTGCCACCCCAAGCAGTGGGGGAAAAAAAAAAGACGCGATCGCGATCGGCGGCAGCTCCACCGCGCCGCTTTGTTCTTCAGCGGCAGGTCCTTCCTTCCGAGAGGGACCGAGGGACCTGCCGCCGAAGAGCCCGACGTGCCTGCCCCTTCCCCTTGGCCGCCCCAAGCACCTGCTTACTGAGCCGGTGCCTGAAGCCAGCCCTGGGTGTTCAGGATTTGGATGGCACCAGTGGACGTGGCAGTGTTGTCTGGATCCCTTTCTCTGGCCTGCACATCTCTCAGGAGCAGGGAGACAAAGGCCCGTTTTGATTTAGGTGGAGCCAGCCCATCCCTCCTGTATAGACTCCTCCTTTCCTCCTTCCCAGTTCCTTCTAAACCTAAACCCCTCCTCCCTACACCATCGTCTCATCCACGCACTGAGACCCTGCAGTTCTGCCTGTCTAACTGGCCCTGTGGGTGGAACTGGATGAATTTTAGACTATGCTACCATGGAGGTCCTGGACTGTAATCTCTTACCTAGCAGCCGAAATTTGGCCTCCAGCAACTCTCTTACCTTTCTCTATGTCACTGGTACCTACACGTACCACGACCACTGGCTCCTCCCCAGCACTGCACATAATCCCGTTGTCTTGAGTGGTCCACAACCTTTACACCCAACAGGCAATTCACAATGCAGTTCTCCCAGTCATCACAAACCCAGTTATCTGTATTTCTAATACTCGAACCCCCCATAAATATTACCTCTCTCTTCCTAATAACTGGGGTTCCCTCCCCCGGAGAGGTATCCTCCGTGCTTGCAGATACCATGACATCATCTGGAAGGAAGGTCCCAAATATGGGATTGTTTCCCTCCGCCACTCCAGCTTGATGTTCTCCTCAGCAGCACCGAGGCTGTCAGACTGGGGGTGGGACCGTTCTACTGTGTCCTGGGAAGTCTCCTCTATGTACCTCTCTCTGTCTCCCAGTGCTCCTCCAGTTCAGCCCCTCTGGTCTCTAGAGCCCGTACACAGTCTCTGAAGGGGCTGAGCTCCTTGCACCGAATGCACACATATGCCACCTGCCCACAAGGTGGGTAATCATCCATGCTGCATTTGCTGCATTCAGTGCAATTGACTGGCTAACCCCACTCTGCTCCTGGACTTCTGCCTGCATTCCTTTCACTCCCGCAGCTTTCGTTGTTGGGTTGGTTGGTTTGGGGGATTTTGGGAGGGGGTGTTTATTGGCCTTAGAGAATGTTAATCAGGTGTATCTGGGTCTCTTGCTCCTGCTCTAACCTCCCTCAGAAACTGCCGTTTGCTGCTCCACTTCACCAGCTCCAACGTACCGGGAGAGTGCTCCGGCAGCAAAGGCAGTACAAACTCACACTCAGGGTGCCACAAACTCATTCAAAGAGAAGTTTTCCAGTTGCTTCCATCCCAATGGTGGGCACCTGGGTAACAAGCAAGAGGAATTGGAAATTCTCACTGATGAGAAGAAATCGGATACAGCTAACTACACTGAAACCTACTGGGACAACTGGCATGATTGGAATGTTACAATCACTGGGTATAAACTAGAACAGGAGGACTTGTGGCACCTTAGAGACTAACAAATTTATTAGAGCATAAGCTTTCGTGGACTACAGCCCACTTCTTCTGAAACCTTTGGGTATAAACTGTTCAGGAAGGACGGGGGAGGGGACATTCTACACTGAAGGCATCAGAGGGAGGGATAGCTCAGTGGTTTGAGCATTGGCCTGTTAAACCCAGGGTTGTGAGTTCAATCCTTGAGGGGGCCATTTAGGGATCTGAAGCAAAAATCTGTCTGGGGATTAGCCCTGCTTTGAGCAGGGGGTTAGACTAGATAACCTCCTGAGGTCCCTTCCAACCCTGATATTCTATGATATATTGCCTGCTTTAAAGTTATTAATAACTCAGTACCACAGGCTCTTGAATGCACATGGGTCAATGTGCTAATGTACCAAGTCCAGACAGGGGTGCTGGTGGAGATCTGTTGCAGACCTCTGAATCACACCAGAGAGCAGAATGAGTTATTCCTTCAGCAATGGTCTTTAATATCTGGAAAGAAAAACTGTGTTGTTATGGGGGATTTCAGTTGGGAGACATGCTGGAGGTCTCAATAAAACATCAGTGAGTTTCTAAAAAGTAAAAAGAACAGGAGTACTTGTGGCACCTTAGAGACTAACAAATTTATCTGGGCATAAGCTTTTGTAAGCTAAAACCCACTTCATCGGATGCAACTTTCTAAAAAGTATGGATGATAATTTCTTGACACAAAAGGTATTGCACCCAACACAAGGTTACTCTATTGTGGACCTCATTATGACAGATAAAGATGAATTAATCACTGGGCTGGAAGTTGGTGATTGCCTAGGAACCAGTGATCATGACCTGATTACATTCAATATGCCAAACAAAGGACAGTCCCAACCAGTAATACACATACTTGGTGCTTCAAAGGGCTAATTTCCCAAAGCTGAGGAAAATGATGAGTAAAACATCAGCCAGAAAAATGCGAATGAAAATTGGGACTTCTTGAAGTGGAGACCATTAGGTGGCCAAAAAGCCATGATTCTACAGCCAGGAAAAAGCATAAGTCTGGCTAAAAACCCATCCTGAGTCAGTGCAAAAGTGAAGGCAGCAATTAGAAATTACAAAGGAATACATAACAAATGCAAAAAGGGGGAAATAGATAGCAATCAGTATAAATTAGAAGTTATGAAGTGTAGAAAATTGATAAGGGAAACTAAAGCCATCAGGGAAAAATCCATGGCTTGCAGGGCTAAAGGCAATAAGAAGGATTTTTTTAAGTATCTTAGGAACAATGGAACTCCAAGCAATGGAACAGGCCCATTACTAGATGGAGATGGTAATATTGTTAATAACGATGCAGAAAAGGAAGAAGTATTCAATAAATATTTCTGTTCTGTATCTGGAAAAAAACAGGATAATGTATTCTTATCACATGAGGCTGATGAAATTCTTTCCAGCCCATGATCAGAAGACCTGGATAACTTGCACCCAAGAGCCTTTAAAAAGTTGGCCAGGTTCTTTTCAGGTCAACTTTTATCTTAGACAACATTTCTCAAACCAGGACATTTTGTTATTCTTAACCAATCAATGTATTCATTCACCCAGAATCACAGTAGTAGAAAATCAACAGTTCTTCAACCAACTGTAGACACAACCAATGTTTTAGGCCATGCACTGAACACACCAATAGTAGTCTTGCAAGCAATTGTCATGGACTAGGGTTGAGGCTCGGCAGTTACAGCTTTATGTTCTACCTGATAACTGGTGAGGAAAGAAAGCAGAAGAAATACAGCATTCCGCTGATACTAACACGGGACCAGCTCCGCTAAAGAGTTCATATGGATCCACCTAATTCGAAAACAAAAGAGGCATCTCGAAAAGACGGGTGCAGCACTTTGCTGGGCTATTCCATGGTCCCGCTACTGTCAATTCACAGATGCTAGAGGAACTAACCCAGCACCCCACACATAAAGAAATTGCCTCATCACCTACCATTGAGGAGGTATAAAAAGTTATCAAACAAAGTCAGGTAAATCGCCAGGCAAAGACAACATACCAGCGGACATTTTTCAACTTGCAGGCCCCCGAACTGTTAACTATCTGCATTAACTTATTAAGATATCTGGGAAACTGAGAAAATTCCTCTGGATTTCAAAGATGCAATCATAGTTACACTATACAAAAATAAAGGCAACAAATCTGACTGTGTATCTCCCTGCTATCTGTAGATGGTAAATCCTTGCTCATATTTTACTCAATCATCTTGTTGAAACATTATCAGAGAAGTATGAGAGGGGCAGCGTCTGACGAAGTGAGTATTCACCCACGAAAGCTTATGCTCCCATACGTCTGTTAGTCTATAAGGTGCCACAGGACTCTTTGTCGCTATTATCAGAGAAGCTTCTACCAGAGATGCAAAGTGATCCATGGGGCCCTACACAAGCCTATCACAACATGTGGTGTACTTCATCCAGTGCATTAAATGCCCCAGCAACAACTATGTGGGTGAAACCAGACAATCACGGTGCTCTCCAATGAAGTCACACAGAAAATTGATAAAAAGACAAAAACACTATCCCTGGTGGGTGAACACTTTTCACAGAGGGATCCCTCTATACCTGACCTCTCAGGCCTCATCTTCAAAAGGAAACTTGCACAACACCTGCAAATGACAAGCCTGGGAGCTTAAATTCCTTACTTTGCTAGACACTAAAAATCATGGACTGAACAGAGACACTGGACATATGGCTTACAACAGGGGTTCTCAAACTGGGGGTCGGGACCCCTCAGGGGGTCACGAGGTTACTATACGGGGATCATGATCTGTCAGCCCCCACCCCAGGCCCCGCTTTGCATCCAGCATTTACAATGGTGTTAAATATATGTAAAAGTGTCTTTAATCTATAAGGGGGGTCGCGCTCAGGGGCTTGCTACGTGAAAGGGGTCACCAGTACAAAAGTTTGAGACTCACTGGCTTACAACAATCTGTAACCCACTAACCACCCAGCTTTGTTGTTTTTTTTCTCCTTGACCGCTATGGCAGGAGGGGCGTTAACCGGCCCCTTCCCCTTGAAAGGTCCCTTGAAACATGTGCAAACTCCTTATGCCCAAGAATCTGTCCCACCGTGTATTGAGCTGTGACCGCTCCCAGCCCTGGGCAAGTGCCAAGGCCCGTCTCGCTTTCCCACAGAAGCGATTCCCGGCCCTTTGTCCCGCACTATCCTGGGACCGCGGGTTCCCGCTATGTTGTCGCTGCCGGCAGGAGGGTGTGTGTCCAGCGGGGCATGGGTCCGTGCTGGCGGCTAACGGGGAGACAGGCCGCTCAGCGGCAGCCCCCCCCCCCGCCCCACGCGGGAACAGCTGTGACCCCTCCCCAGCAGGAGCGACCACCCACCGCGGCCTCCCCGGGGCGCCCCGCGAGCCGGCGCACAGGGGCCGGGCCGGGGCTGCAGGAGGCGCTGGCCGAGCGCTGAGCGCCCGGCGGGGCAGCGCCTGGGACGGGGCCGAGCCGGGGCGCTGAGCTCCGCGGGGCCAGCGCGCAGGCAGGCGGGGAGGGCCGCGCTGCAGCCGCAGCACCCGGGCCCCGGGGCCGGGCATGGACCTGGCTGCGCCGCGGCCGCTCTCCCCGCCCCGGCTCGCTGCGCGCCCTGGGGTCCCGCTGCAGGGAGAGCCCCGGAGCCGCCGGCCGCTGCCCGCCCGCCCGGCCTCCCCCGGCTCGGAGGGGCCCGCAGCCGCGGGGAGCGCCCGGCTCCGGCCACCCAGCCCGGGAGCAGGCAGTGGCCGCTTCGGGGAAGCAGCATCGCGGCGGAGACTGGCGCTAGGTAAAGCCCCGCTCCGCGCTCGGCTCCCCGCTTCCCAGCGGCCGGCACACGCCGGGCCCGGCTGGGAATCGCCCCCCATGTAGGAGAGCGAGTGACCCGGGGCTGGGGCAGCCCTGAACCGGCTGCCGTGGCCTGGCAGGGCAGAGAC